ATATATATATATATATATATATATATATATATGTGTGTGTATATATATATATACTCTACAATAGCAAATATAACAGTACTCAGGCTAATAATATAAGTCTGTGCGTTGGGAGCGCGCCTATCTCCTCGGCCCGCTCACGGGGGGCTGGAAGGAGCGCGCAAACAAAGACACAACGTCGCCGGAGGCGTCATGTGTGGGGGCGTGGCATTTTATGCATTCCGGTCGTGCAAGTCCCGCCCACGCAAGAGTGTCTGAGCCGCTGTTCCATTAGGCAGCGCGGTGCTCTGTGCAGCACTGTTTTGTCCTGCCCGGCTTCCGTAGTAGAAGCCAATGTGACATGTGAGAACACCGGCCATGGAGGTGAGTGCGTTGTGCTCTGTGTTGCTGTTCCTGGGAGCTGACAGATCCCTATAGCGGTGTGGGGATGAGGGACAGCTGGTGCTGTGTGACGCAGGTCAGGATTTAATTTAAAGGGCCATGCTTATATTATGTATGAATGCAGAGAGCTTTTTTATAATCCAGTGCACTCTGCTGTACATACAGGCACAGGAGTGAGGGACTGATATGTGAAACACTGTTGTAAGGAGAAAAAAAAAATACCCTGAAAGCGACAGAAAGCAGAGGTGTTAGCTGCATGTGTATTGATTTATGATCGATAATAGGTACTAACAATCGCAAACCAGAGATTTGCCTTCAATCGAACGATGGAACACATATGCTGTTGATTGGAAATCTGATCCATCAGAAACGCTCTGATAAAATCATTTGATTGATCTGTGTTCTATTCGGTTGCCTGACACCTACCCAGATCTAAAATTTGATTGATCAGAAATGTTTAATAAAATTCCGCCATGGCCGATTAGCTTGATTATTTTAGTTGTTTCAGTTGGTTGATTGAATGATCATATGGATAAGTGTATAGCCACCTTTTAAAGTAGAACAACATCTAGATCAAAACATATAGAGGCGACTTGGTCTAGCAGGTCAGGGGGAGCCGGAGGGAGTGGGGATCATGCCCTAGGTGTAAATGAGCCGTTAACCCTTTACTTTTCATTTTCCCTGGAGTTGGGTCCTGAAATCTCACTTCAATCCGACTTTGTATTGCACTCAGAGTCAAATAGAAGTGAGATTTCAAGACCGATCAGCTGTTCCCAGGCAGATCGGTTCTCCTGCACATACCATCTGCCATGCCGATCTGCCCTGGAACAGTGGAGAAAGCATTGAATTCTGCACCTTTTGCCGGTCACACATTTTTACCCCTGAAAAAAATGGGCGTGTCTACGTTAGAATGTGTGACCACGTGACTGGTCACACATTCCACAGCTGAAAAAAATGGGCGTGATTGCATTAGAATGTGTGATCACATCACCGGTCACACATTCTAACGCAGTCACAATCTGTGATAGAACACTCCCACTGCCAGAGTCTTTTTTTTTTTGTGGTACACTTTAATCGCTGTCTGTGGTCCTGAAACGCAATGCTACGTTCTAGTACCGCCGACCTCTTCTGACCTCCCTATTTCTTTATTTCATTGCAGCCTCAGAACATTACCATGGCAGAAGGACTGCCCAGTGACGCAAAGGGGGCGGTACTGATGCCCAGTGACTCCCTACCTGAAGGCACGCCCCAGGTCATGGGTTATGACTTTAATCGTGGGGTCAACTATGAGGCTCTGCTACAGAGTTACATGACCACTGGATTCCAGGCCCTGCACTATGGCCAGGCCGTACGGGAGGTCAACAACATGGTGAGTGGATGGAGGAGGTGGGCATTGTCTGTGGGTCCTGGAATGAGAGAAGAGAGCAGAGAAATGGTGAATAGCAGAATGTCTTTTAATGTCTTAATGTTTATAACTCTGCGTCTCTGATGTCACATTCATAGGGGGGTATTTCAAGAAGAACTATGGGCAAAACTTTAAACGTCGCCTATGGGAAATTTTGGGCATTGTAACGTGTACAAAAGTTATACTCACTTGATCCTCCGAGCCGGCTGTCACAGCACTCCCTCCTGCCTGTCTCCTACACTCCGATGATGGTATGTCCCTCGGCGTCCTTATGTCCTGTACACAGTGTATAGAACGTCATGAATCGGGGACCTTAGACCGCTGCAGGGAGGGTAAGCGATGCTGGAAGGATTATGAGAGTAAAACTTTTTTATTGTCCTCCCTACACCAAATATTCTGACTCCGATCATTGTGATAGCGAAATATATCCCTTGCTGAGACCTCTATGCCTGGCCTGTATAAGCAGATATACTCACTGCGGACAATCCTCGTCAGATAGCTGAACTCGTCAATACCGATTCATTCAAAAGAGGTGTTTATTCTTTACATCAGGATTACAGCAGATGATGGGAACAGCAGTTGAACGGTTATAGTATTGTGCGGTCAGAAAATGATGCCTTTCCTACGTACTGTGCAGATTACATGTGTGTCCTTGTTACATGTGACTTTTAACTGTGGCCATGACACAGGAAGTACTGCACACAGGAAGAAGGAAGGGGCGTACACTAGGGGGAAATACATCGTCACATGAGGAATAATTACAGAAAGCATGTTTGTTACAACAAAAGGCCACTAGATGGCAGCATAGGATAACACATTAATTTAGCTATGAGAAAATAGTTAGGCAAATCACACTATATAAACAATGCTAATATTAACTGAGGCTATGCATCTCATATTCTATGTCCCTATTGGGGCGGCACACCAAACGACCAGGTAACCCTTGCATGGGGGGGGTGTCGGGGTCGCCCCACTTCAAGGTTTTTACATTTTGCCCGGAGTTCTTCTTTGAAAGCTTCAAGTCATGTCTTCACTGACCTCACACAGATGAGGGTGTTGCATCCTATAATTATACCCGTACTGGCACTCTCTCATTATATACATTCTACTAGAACAAGGGGAAGGCAAGCTCTGGCCCTCCAGCTGTAGTAAATCTACAATTCCCATCTTGCATCTGCCTCTGGGAGTCATGCCTGTGGCTGTCAGAGTCTTGCAATGCCTCATGGGATTTGTGGTTGCACCACAGCTGGAGGGCCGTTGTTTGCCCAACCCTGTCATAGATCATTGCATGCATATGCGGGGGTGGTATTCCATAATACCCATTTCCTGCCTATAATCCCCTCCTAGCTAGGTTCTCTTCCAATGACATTACATCCGTGGCACTACTATTCCGGGTGTGACAAATATTAGAGTTCCAGGTCGCCATGACTTGGCTCGTTGTCGCTTATTACAAGATCATGACATGTTGTTGCTATTGTAGTGAAATGAAATGACATCCTTATAATGTCTTTAATCCTTTAGCTAGAGACAAAGCTTTCATCCCCTGGGGGATGCGTCATCTTACTGGGATACACTTCCAATCTGATCAGCTCCGGCGTGCGAGAGATCATCCGATACCTGGCAGAACACAAGATGGTGAGAATTTAAAGTGTACCTCCAAGATTTTTTATTGAAATATTAAAAGGTTTGGTGTGCATTGAAAGGGTGAACCATGAGTGGATCTAGCATCCGATAAGTGGGCAAAGGACTAGTCACCAGGATTGGCTGTGGGGCCTCTGCTAGGGCTGCAGCTAACAATTACTTTCATAATCGATTAGTTGCATAAAA